CTCTCTACCACTAACATCAGAGATCCTTTTCTCCTTCGTCAAAGTTCCTATTTCGTAGACTGTGACTCTCTACTAAACTGGTTTTCTTCCTACATTTTTGTCCCTTTCCAATTTCTTCCTCCTACTCACACTCACACACACACACAAAAAAATGAACTAACAAAAGGAGAATGCTTAGCAAATGTCCTAAGGCCATTCCAAATTTCCACAAGATACTAGTTAGCAATCCAACAACAGAAACTTTCACAATAATCAGAATGAGGAGGTGGAGAAAAGTACTGAGATATTTATCAAAGGGAGAAAACAGTCATAAGAAAAACGTATAAGATGACTGGAGTCACACAATTACATAGATGATGATATTTATTATTTTCTTTTTTTAATTTTTTATTTTTTACTGCATTTTAGGTTCTGGGGTACATGTAAAGAACATGAAGAATTGTTGCATAGCAACATACATGGCAATGTGGTTTGCTGCCTCCATCCCCCAGTCACGTATATCTGGCATTTCTCCCCATGTTATCCCTCCCCAACTCCCTACCCCTCACTGTCCCTCCTCTAGTCTCCCCCGACAGACCTCAGTGTGTGATGCTCCCCTCCCTGTGTCCATGTGATCTCATTGTTCAACAACCACCTATGAGTGAGTACATGTGGTGTCTGATTTTCTGTTATTGTGTCAGTTTGCTGAGAATGATGGTTTCCAGGTTCATCCATGTCCCTACATTATTATTTTCTAATGTAGACTCTTCATTTAAAAAGCTGCAATAAATTTAATTGTAAAGAAAATAAGGAAAATAAGTTACATGGCCAAGTGACCATTGAAACACAGTGTGGAATGTTGGAAAGAAGACACTTTTACCATCAACGGATCCAAACAAATCCCAGTTCCAGCCTTCAGTGGTTGTAAGAACTTGAGTGAGATACTTAACCTCACCAAACCTCAGTTTACTCACCTCCAAAATGGGGTAAGACAATATTCCTCATAGCTCAATAAATGGTAGCCATGATGTGTATGATTACTGCAGGATTATGTAAACCAAAATTAAATTCTAAGCCCCCCAAACAACTGAATTAATCTCTAAGCCAAAGACATTCTACAACCAATACCACAGCAATGCAAAAGATCATTCATACTATGAACACATTTACATGCACAAACTAGAAAACCTAGAGGAGAAGAACAAATTCCTGGAAATATGCAACTTCCTAGATTAAACCAGGAAGAAACAGAAACTCTTAACAGATCAATAACAAGCAGCAGGATTGAAAAGGTAATTGTAATGGTTAATATTGAATGTCTACTTGATTGGATTGAAAGATGTAAATATTTCAATATATTTACATATATAAATAGTAAGGTGTGTCTATGAGGGTGTTGCCAAAGAGATTAGCATTTGAGTAAGTGGACTGGGAGAGGCAGACCCACCCTCAATCTGGGTGGGCAATATCTAATCAGCTGCCAGCACAGCTAGAATAAAGCAGGCAGAAAAGGTGGAAGGAGCTGACTTGCTGAGTCTTCCAGCCTTCACCTTTCTCCCATGCTGGATGGTTCCTGCCATCAAATATCAGACTCCAAGATCTTCAGCTTTCTGACTCTTAGACTTACACCAGTGATTTGCCAGGGTCTTTCAGGCCTTTCACCACAGACTAAAGGCTGCACTGTCAGCTTCCCTACTTTGGAGATTTGGGGACTTACTGGCTTCCTTGCTCCTCAGCTTGCAGACAGCTTATTGTGGGACTTCCCCTTGTTATTGTGTGAGTCAATACTCCTTAATAAATTCCCCTTCATATACACATCTATTCTATTTGTTCTATTAGTTCTGTACCTCTAGAGAACCCTAAGTAATACAGTAATTTTAAAATTGCCAACAACAACAAAAAAAAAGTCCAGGACTGGATAGATTCACTGTTGAACTCTACCAGACATTCAAAGAAGAATTGGGACCAATCCTGTGACACTATTCCACTATTAATATAGGGAAAGAAGGAATCATCCCTACATCTTTCTATGAAACCAGTATCACCCCAATAGCAAAACCAGAAAAGGAGGCAACAGGAAAAAGAGGAAACTACAGACTAATATCCCTGGTCAACAAAGATGCAAAAATCCTCAGCAAAATACTAGCTAATCCAATCCAGCATATCAAAAAGATAATTCACCATGATCAAGTGGTTTCATACCAGGGATACAGGGATGATTTGATATATGCAAGCACATCAATAAATGTGATACACCACATAAACAGAATTAAAAACAAAACCACATGATCATCTCAACAGATACAGAAAAATCATTTGACAAAATCTGGCTTCCATTTACAATTAAACTCCCAGCAAAATTGGAATAGAAGGGACATACCTTAAGAGAATAAAAGCCATCTATGACAAACCTACAGCCAACATTATACTGAACAGGGAGAAGTTAAAAGCATTCCCCCTGAAAACTGGAACAAGACAAGGATCCCACTTTCCCCACTTCTATCCAACATAGTACGAGAAGTCTTAGCCAGAGGATTTAGAAAAGAGAAAGAAATAAAGTACATCCAAATCAGTAAACAGGAAGTCAAACTGTCACCGTTCACTGATTATATGATTTTATACCTAGAAAACCCTAAAGACTTCTACAAAAAACTTCTAGAATGGACAAATAAATTCAGTAAAGCTTCAGGATACAAAATTAACGTACACAAATCAGCAGCTCTGCTATACACCAACAGTGACCAAGCTGAGAATCAAATCAGAAACTTAACCTCTTTTACAATAGCTGCAAAAAAATAAAAATAAAATAATTAGGAATATACTTAACCAATGAGGTAAAAGATCTCTACAAGGAAAGCTACAAAACACTGCTGAAAGAAATCATAAGTGGCCGGGCACAGTGGCTCAAGCCTGTAATCCCAGCACTTTGGGAGGCCGAGGCGAGTGGATCACGAGGTCAACAGATCGAGACCATCCTGGTCAACATGATGAAACCCCATCTCTACTACAAATACAAAAAGTTAGCTGGGCATGGTGGCACGTGCCTGTAATCCCAGCTACTCAGGAGGCTGAGGCAGGAGAATTGCCTGAACCCAGGAGGCGAACGTTGCGGTGAGCCGAGATCGCGCCATTGCACTCCAGCCTGGGTAACAAGAGCAAAACTCCGTCTCAAAAAAAAAAAAAAAAAAGAAATCATAAGTAACACAAACCAATAGAAACACATCCCATGCATATTCGGATGAGTAGAGTGAAACTGTATCCTCATTTCCTATCGTATACAAAAATAACTCAAGATGGATGAAAGACTTAAATCTAAAACCTGAAACCATAAAAATTCCAAAAGATATCATCAGAAAAACCTTTCTAGACAACAGCTTAGGCAAAGACTGCATGATCAAGAACCCAAAAGCAAATTGCAACAACAACAAAAAAAGATAAATAGATGGAACTTAATTAAACAAAAAAGCTTCTGCATAGCAAAAGAAATAATCAGCAGAGTAAACAGACAACCCACAGAGTGGGAGAACATCTTTGCAAACTGTGCACCCGACAAAGGACTAATATCCAGACCCTACAAGGAACTCAAACAAATCAGGAAGAAAGAAAAACAAAAAATCCCATCAAAACGTGGGCTAAGGACAGAGAATTCTCAGAAGATATACAAACATATGAAAAAATGTTCAATATCATTATTGTTAATAACCAGGGAAATGCAAGTCAAAACCACAAAACAATACCACCTTACTCCTGAAAGAGTGGCCATAATCAAAAAATAATAGACGTTGACCTGGATATGGCGAAAAGGGAACACTTTTGCCTTGCTAATGGGAGTGTAAACTAGTACAACCACTATGGAAAACAGTGTGGAGGTTCCTTAAAGAACTAAAAGTAGATCCACCATCTGATCCAGCAATCCCACTACTGGCTATCTACCCAGAGGAAAAGAAGTCATTATACAAAAAGCCACTTGCACACACATGTTTATAGCAGCATAATTTGCAGCTGTAAAAATATGAACCATGCCCATCAATCAAGTGGATGATAAAGTGTGATATAAATATATATATCATAAAATACTACTCACCCATAAAAAAAAAGGTATGAAATAATGGCATTTGCAGCAACCTGGATGGAATTGAAGACCATTATTCTAAGTGAAGTAACTCGGGAATGGAAAACCTAACATCATATGTTCTCACGCATAAGTGGAAGCTAAGCTAGGAGGATGCAAAGGCATAAGAATGCTACAATGGACTTTGGAGCCTCAGGAGAAAGAATGGGAGGAGAGTGAACGGTAAAAGACTACACATTGGGTACAGTGTACACTGCTCAGTTGATGGATACACCAAAATCTCAGAAATCACCACTAGAGAATGTACCCTTGTAACAAAATACCACCTGTCCCCACAAAACCTATTAAAAAATTTTTTAATAAAAATTAGAAAATAAAAGTAAACCTGAAACACTACTTCAAGCCATGCTGGGAATGGGTGGTTGGGCATGCCTCCTTATATCTTCCTCCCTTTGGAATTCAGGCACAGTTGACCGGCATTAACATTAAAACAGATCTTAAGACCGGCAAAACAGACTCTGTAGCAACAAGATACCAACATGACAGACAGTGGGTTCTAAAAGAAATCTAATTATTTTACCCCAAAATGTATTTCCTTGATATATTTTGAAATGGCCCTGCAAAGCTGTCACTTATGGGGAAAATCTACATTCTGTAGAGAATGCCCTTCCTTTTCCAGATCTATTTCCTGGTCTAGGAGAGATTTAGAGTCTGGCACCTCTTTAAGTCCAATAGAAACATTTATGATCTATTCTCTCTGGAGCCTGCTACCTGGAGAATTCATCTGCATTTGGCCATTATGGCTAAAACCACAATTACTTTTGGACCAACCTAATAGATGTTATCACCAGCTTTATAAAAACTCCAGGCACTGAACAATCCTTAGTGTCAGGCCAATATATCTCAGCACCAGTATTAGATAACTGTTTGCTTGATTTGATAAACTTACCTGTAACAAAAAATCAAAGAGTGCCATCTTGGACCACTCATGATGATGTATTTCAGTACAACCCGATTCAGGTTTGGGTACTCGGCCATTCTGCCAGCACTTCTGCTTCAGCAACTGCTGATAAGTTCCCCAGGTGAGCTTAACAGAAGAATGGGTGTCATTACTTGCTGGAGATAAAGATGCATCCCAGAGAATGACGGGGCATGGGCGGCCATCTGTGGAATCAGAAAAACAAACACACTTTGAGCACACTATTGATGCAGTGTGTGCCTTTGAGCAGGTCATCCACTCTTTCACAGTCTCACTATCAGCTATCAAATGTGAGGGTATGATTCGACAATATTTGATGGTCCCTTTGTCTTCTGATGTCTTAATACTTTCATACCTCAGTGCTTCCTGTTCTAAGTTTTATAAAGCAGAAAGTTATTGTTAGACGATGAAAAAATATTTTTAACAAGATACTTGATAGATGTGGCAGGAATAGTATACTAAGCACCAGTAACAACGTCCTATGGTTAATGTGGTTTTATTCCACATCTAAAAGCAGCCACCACAAAACGGGAAAGAATCCAGACATTTATAATTGTCTATTCAACGTCTGAGTGGAGCTGCTCTTTATTTGTAATAACAACTGTCTGATTTTCTGAGGCCACATTATGATGTCAGGAAGAAAAAGAATTTTTAGAAGTCGCAAATTTAAAAGTGAAATTGTATGGTTCACACCAATCACTGTAATTTCCAAAGAAGAAAAAAAAAGAGGCAAGAGGTTTTTTCTTTTCTGATAGAAACTGTGCAAGCACAACAGTGCTCTTGGTAAGGGATCATTTATTCACACATATCCTCAACAAAGTGCATTTAAGCAAATGTCAGTTCCTCAACTGCATGTGCATAAGTGATTTTTTTTTAATCTGTCACTCAATTTGTTTTGTCTCACTCTTGGAGGTTTAGAAATGCTATTTCTTTCATTGCTAAACTGTATAAAGAATATGGGCCCCAGTGAAATAATCATAAACAAGGAAGACCATGATTCAGACACATTAAACAACACTTCAACCTTAAAACCAGTAACATCACTTCCAAGCTTCCATTTCTGCCCAATAAAGTCACAAAGAGATGGTACTGAGCAGCTTTGCTTATAACTCAAAAATCAGAATGATGCACTTGATAAAAACAACTAAATTACGAAGATCCGATAAAGCCCAGTTAACTCATCCTTAACAGGCCTGAACAACAGAGACCTCTGAAATTACAGCTGGAATGTTCAGACATGTTACAGGAATTCTTAAAACCTCTCCTAAATAGCCTCAGATGTTCTCAGTCTACAACGTTACAGTCTACTGGAAACTTTATTTTGCCACCTTACTGTCTTGCCATCTTGTAGAATTTTTATCTCCAGTCTTTAACACAGGAAACAGTCCTCTTCTCTAACCACTCATGAGTTTGGTGTTACACTAACCTTCGTGGTTTTAATAACATTCACTTAAATCATTCTAATCGCTTGCATTCCAGTTCTGCTCAAAGAAAAATCTTTCTCACTTTAGCCTTGCAGTGTAGGCCAGGGTATGTGGAAAGTCTTTTGGATTATGGAAAATATGCCGCAATCATTGCTGCAAAACTAGGAGAAGAATAGAGAAAGAAATGTGAGCCATACAAAAGAACTCCATTTGTAGCCTTCTCTCTCTCCTTCCAGTTTCTTTTTACCTTAGTAAATGATTTCAGGTTCCTGGGACCTAATTATCTAATTAGATATAAGTAATTTTAAATGTGTATATTCCGAATACTATGCCAATGTATTTTAAAAGAATGAATTCCAGGTAAAAGTAGTCCATCCTACGGTGGAAGACAGCACTGGGCCACTATAACCAAATACGAATAGAAAACACATGCGCTGTCTCCAAAGATGTGTACTTCACGCGTCTAAAAATAAACACCAAGAAGCTCTATCAGTGTCTTTGAACCAAAGTTATACACATACAAAAAGCACTTTGCATGCTGAGGGATAGAAAGCGTTCAAAAAGAGGTGAAACCTAACAGTGAACTTCAATACAAATTAATACACAAGTCAGATGGGCAGCAGTTTCCTCAGCAATTCATACAATGCCTTTGGAGAAATATGGAAATGATCTACATAAACAAATCAAAACCTGCTGGGCTGTTTTTCTTCCCTTAGAAACATTATTTCTTACTGTAAAACTAAAGGTAAACCCATTCATTTTATGAAATATAGAAAAACATAAAAATATATAGCTAAGAAAATAAAAATCACCTATAACCTCATCTCCCAGTAGTTGGTTCTGTTATTTGTACATTAACCTCCAGTATTTTTCTAACCCTTTCTTTCTCACCTGATTAGGTAAATTACTTTTAGAATTTTTCTTTTAAAGAGTATAACTCACGGTTAAAGCTCTGACTCTGGAATCCAACAGAATTCTGGTCACATTATATCCTAGCTTTGTAACGTTAGAGAAGTTATGTAACCTTTTTAAACCTTGTTTTTCTCATCTGTAAAATGGGAGCAATAATGTACCTTGTTAGGAAGAAATGAGATTGTGCATCTAAAATTCCCAGCATGGTACCTAACATAAACGCATGCCCCAGAAAGGTTTTCTCTGATGACTACTACACATATGTTACATAATCACGTCATTCATCAGGCTCCAACTGACCTTTACCGTTTCTTGAGCATTTACTGTGCAGTAAGCACTGTTCTAGAAACTGAAGCTACATACATAATAGATACATCATTAGATAAATGTGAAGCTTTTTGCTTTTGTGGAGCTTACATTTCTACCAGGAGAAAGAGGCAAAAATTATGCAAAGAAAAAAAGCTATTTGGGATCATCTTATATGTAGATTTGTCATAATTATTTCACTAAATATTATAAGTATTTCTTTTATTATTTTTAAATTGTACCACTTTAAGTGTAATGCAATAATCTAGCCCAGTGATCAGCAAATTTTATAAAAGGCAGACAGTAAATATTTTAGGCTTTGAGGGCCTAAAATACCACAATGATTGAACTATGCAACAGTTCAACTCCGTTGTAGCACAAAAGTAGTCATGGACAATGTATAGACAAGTGGTCATAACTATTCCATTAATATTTTATTATGTATGCAAAACCTGAAATTTCATATGAGTCTCTCAAGGTCATAGCAATATTACTAATACTTTGATTTTTTTCGTCATTTAAAATTATAGAGACCACTTTTAGTTCACAAAAATAAAAACAGGCAGTGAGCCATTTCTGGCCCACAGGGTATACATTAACCCCTAATTTAGTTTATGAGTATACTGTACGTCAGTCACCATTTCTCTATTTTAGATCATCAAATTTTTGGAATGATACATTTTCTATACTAATCATTAAAAACCCATTCTCAAACTGCCAAAGAAAGTGTTCAGCTGATAAGCATAATTGGTTTTCAATTAATAGCCTATGTTTTTCTCCCTATCCATCCATTTTCCCTCAGCAAAATATTTTGAATGCTAACTATCGCACAAAGACATTCTTTCCTGCCCTGCTGGAAATCAGTGTGCCTTCGGAAAGGGGATTTCCATAGAACAAGAAGAAAGCATGGTGAGCAGTAAGACTTAGACTGAGTCACAGAGGGCTGTGGTTCCTTTCCACATACAGGCCTTTTTGCTATGGATACGTGTGTGTGGCCCTTGCAGGTAATAATAGTAGTCCGTGTAATTCCAGATCTCAGAGCAATGAGTACTACTCTGAGGAGAATTCCACTTTTTTTAAACATATGGCTTTTGAAAGAATTAAATGAACCTTGATGGATTTGAAGAGATGACAGAAAAATCACCTCTGAAAACAGGAAACTGGTTAAAGCAACTTACCCTGAAGTGTTTCAGAGATGAGAAGCATTCATCTCTCCACATTCAGGTTTGTCAAAATGATGCAGTACTGGACTCTCTAGAGAAATCTCAATAGTGAAGAGATAAAATTCTGTCCCAGTGGTGAGAAAGCGGGTTTTAAAAGATATGTGGGTGTTCATGTGAATTAAAGGTTATATAGCTGTCCTAAAAAATGAGACTCACCAGGAAAGCTTCTTTTTTTCTGAAATCTGAATATTTCCCCTGAATTCTGATGCTCTGCTAAGTCATTTTGTATTCAAAAGCGCAAAGAAGACATTCTACTGAGAAGATGAACATGAAAATTCACTTAGAAAGGGTGCTTTACACAATCTTCTTTGTCTAGATTTATTTTAAATGCCCTTCACTTTAAGCACCGGCTGAGTGGCTTTGTGGAACTATAGGTGAATGCTAAGCATGTTGGGTGGGGCTGTGAATGTCTGTATGCATTTGTCACTGAGCAAAAATAAGAAAAAAAAAGTCTTGGGCTCTGAAATCAAAAGTTCTTTCTCTTGCACGGGCCATGTTCCAAGACTCTTTGTGAACAAGGTAAAAAGGAAGTCACAGTTCAGCTCAGAGTCCTTCAATAAAAACAACTCTACAATACCCATTGAGGGAAAGAAAGGCCAGTCAATCTTGAGTGGCATCTTTGTTATAGGAAACAAATTCTGCTGGGCTCCATCGCAACTGTCAACAATGCATTGAAGGAAAACTTTAATGCAATAAGAAATAAACCTCCATAAGGTTTTCATGATTTTTTAAAACAGTAGGTGAGGAGGTAGGAGTCAGCAGATTCCATACACATAGATTTTATATGGTCAAAGAAGTCCTGGACCTAGGGACTTATCCTAAAGCAACTTAAAACCACGGTAAGATATGACTTCACCCCTGCTAGAAGGGCTATCATCAAAAAGACAAAAGATTACAAGTGTTGGTGAGGGTGTGAAGAAAAGGGAAGCCTTAGCACTGCTGCTCGGAATGTGCATTAATACAGCCATGATGGAAAACAGTATGAAAATTTCTCAGGAAACTAAAATAGAATTACCATACTATCCAGTAATCCTATTTCTGGATATCTATCCAAAGAAGTTGAATCTCTATGCTGAAGAGCTTTCTGCCTTCTATGTTCACTGCAGCACTATTTTTTTTTTTTTTTTTTTTTGAGACAGAGTCTCACTCTGCTGCCCAGGCTGGAGTGCAGTGGTGTGATCTTGGCTCACTGCAACCTCCACCTCCAGGGTTCAAGTGATTCTCCTGCCTCAGCCTCCCAAATAGCTTGGACTACAGGCATGCAACACCACACCCAGTTAATTTTTGTATGTTTAGTACAGATGGGGATTCATCATGCTG